TCTCCACTTCCTACGTGTTTCACGGGTAGCCAGGATGCATCGGCTTGTCATCGTGTAACGGTATCACATACACGCCGTTGCACAACGAGAAAGAGGGAGAAAGAGGGAAGAGAAGATGGAGCAAGGAGCGAAGAAGAATAAGGAGGAACGAAGAGGTCGCTTCCTGCTTCTTTCCGCAATTTCCGCTTAGGAATCGCGAGCTGATTATCCTGGTTGACAATGAGAGGAAAATAATTAAGCGATGAGCGGATAATTAAGCTTGAAACGTGTAGAGAGACTGGTTTCTTACTGTGGCCAAATGCATGATTCCTTTTGGAGACGTTTCAAAAACTCGTTTTTGCAAATTAATTAGACACTAAATTATAGTCCAGTGTGATATAGATTTTGTTTTATGTAAGTTCAAACAACGTGTAGATATTTTATTTTAACAATTATCAATATTATTTCGTATTTTTCGTATTTTTCCAGAATCTTTGACTCGAGAATAAAATAAGAGAAATAGAGATTTACACTCGACTCGAAATATTCGTTCTGTAAAAAAATTACGTACCACGTGGAATATTTTCTCCATCATTTTTTGCAATAAAAGATTTGCAATACACTTGTATCATAATTCGCAGCTCCAAAAGCGCATGAGTTCTCCCTTTAACTCGAGAACCGTTTCTTTCCCAGCAACCGTTTTCCTGCGGCACCGGTGTCGTTTCCGGGAAACGGTGGATCCCTCGATCGATCGCCGATCTCTTAATTGCCCCTCGATTCGGTGCTTTCTCACGGTTTCTTGCCTTTATGCGTTCATGATCAGAGCAGATGTTGCGCAGGGATCGAAGGGGATCCGGGCGGCTTCGTCGATGATGGCTCGTGAACTCGGTGATTCGATGGGAGAAACCTGTTGATGGAAGTAGATATAGATATACGGATTACGTTTCGTATAATGTGAACGAGAAATTTGAATAAATTGATAAATAAATAAAATTAATTAGAAATTAGAAAAGATTGATTCTTAATGAATGAATATTTTTCTAATATCTAAAGTGTATTATATGAGACAAGAAGTTTTTCCAATTTTCCAAATACGTGAAATTATACACATATCGTAGAAATCAAATGAGTAAATAATCTGAAGATTAGAATAAATTTAAAATTTTCCAAGAAAAGAAAAAAAATCATTTTCATTCTCGAAACAACTCCATTCCTTGAAAAATATATATCTTTCCTTCGACGATCCTTTATACAAAAGAAACCGTTTCCCCGCCACTCTTAACAAGAATTCCTCCTACCTCGAGTCAAGAGCAGGAATTTTCTTTGAACAAGAAAAGTTCCAAGTTACAAACTATTCTTTTTCAGTCGTTAATTTACAACTTCTTGTCGTTGTGCAAGACTAGTAGGTGGATTTGTTTTTAAAACTCGAAATTTTCAAAGTGGCTCGACCTTTCTAGGAAGGTTCCGCTATTAGTGGATCCTTTGTGTCAATAGATTAGAAAGCAGAGCTGCCTTTTTTTCTCGAAATCGTCTGCTTTCTTTCGACATTCTCTTCTTTCTCAGTATTTTTTTTTTTCTCTCGTTTCTCACTCTGCCCAGGATTATCCCAGTGACGAATTTTCTCGTCCCTTGGAGTTATTCTCGCATTCAGAATATCTCTTTGAAAACCCACGAAATAAAACGACGATTCTTAAGATTAGCCAAGATCGTAAACGAAATCTGCTCATCCTTGCAATCCTGTTAAAACAACGAAAAATTATTTTTCTTATTCGAATATGAACGCTTCTCGTTTTATTACATGGATTGGATTTTTGAGGGATAAGGAATATTTATTCGTGATTGGAAACGAAAGATGAGTTAAATTTAATTACCGATTATTTTAGGAAATGAATATCAATCCTCGTTTTTGTTTCTTCAAATTGAATTCTTATATCTCAATATTAATAAGTAGTTGATCTAATCGTACGATTATTTAGTTTGATGGAAAGTAGATTGTAACTATGATAAATTTTCATTACAGGTTTCAATCATTTAGTTTCATTCCCATTGTTCACTCGTTGTCCCTTCTTTAATTCTTCAAAAGTAATTTAGCAGTAATTTAACAAACATAGTGTTTTTCTTGATTTATTTTAAATTATGTAAACTCGATATGCGGAACAATGCTCGATAGATACGTGAAAATTGTGTTTTACAACGTCGTACAACCGATTATGGAACAGATACGACCAATTCCCGTCGTACTTTCTATCGTCGAGCCGATAAGAAGAACGACCTTTAAGAGCCTCCTCGTTAAACTTGAAGTTGTCGTGGCTGTAAGGAAGATTCACCATAATTAGCGTTGCTGCGGATGTCAGATGTTCCATGTTTTTAAGTGATAATTATCTAAACGATAAATATAAAACCAACAATCTTGGCTTGTTGCTTGATAATGATCCATCATAAGTCATTGGCCATTATCGTTTATCGATATTCAAGAGGATCTTCGATATTTCTAATAGCTATACGACTAAAGAATTTTTTTTTTTACAGATATATACCGTACCTTCTATCCTCGGATACACGGATGACACGGGATCAAAAATGAATTTAGAAATACTTCAAAATACTTGGAAAATGATTATTCCATTATTATCAAGAATTCTCGACGCAAGACATAGGAAATTCATTGGTTTCAATTGGCCGATAAATTTTAATAATCGCGTTCCGGCATGACATTTAAGATACGAGCATTTTTTTAAAATTTATTCCCCATATAACTTATTTGATCGTTTCTTAGAAACGAATTGTGAAAAGATAATGTAAAATTCAATTTTCAATCTCATTAGCATTATTCAATATATACATACCATCACCACTGAAAATTTGTATCATTAATATATATATATATAAAAATATAATCGCTGACGACGAAAGGTGAAAGAAAATTCGAGCGATCCTCGTCCATATTTTGCGCACACGCGTATTATCACACGAGCTACCAATCAGAATCATGGTACGCGTGCCTCGTAAAAACGAGTATTATCGGTCGAATAAAAATCGAGAGATCCGTGTTGGGGCCGGATAAGAAAGGTCTGTCCACGTTGGTACACGCAATCGTGGACGTTAATAGGCACGTCATCGGGCGGAGCGCGCGAAGCCTGGTGAACGGTAAATAAAAGAGAATGTTCATTACGGGTCGAGGGAACCGGCTTAACGACACCTGTTGGACACACAGTCGTTTTCCTGTTTCGTTGGCCAGCCCAGAGAAGAAAACGGGCTAAATGGCCGTGCTCGAAATAGCAGGCGCAAAAAAGCGGCCATTTCCCTCGCGATAGATTTTTGGATTGATATTTAAAAGCTAAAAGAAAAAAAGGTTGGCCTCTCGTGCGGATTCTTTTTCTTGAGTCGATTTTCGGTTTATTAAGGTTCGAAAGAAAGAAAGACGCGTGCGAAATTGTGAGAAATTGATGATGTTCGAGTAGATAGAGAGATTTTTTTGTCTTCCTTGCTTTTTGAAAAATTCGTGGATGATTGGATTGATTCGCCTTCTTGAAGTTTGAAGAAAGATAGATTTGGGTTAAAAATTATTGCGTTAAAATTTTATCTTCCCTCTTCTTCTCTTTTCCGAAAGATTGGATGATTGATTTTTCGTTGAAGTTTGGAGAAAGAAATTTGGTTGAAGATTTTTCAATCATCCTTCCTTTCTTCTTCCTCTTGAAAATTCTTGGATGATTATTCGCTTCTTAAAGAATGGTTAGAGAAGAAAATAATCGTACGATGATACAAGATTGATCATCATTTCGCAAAAATCATCCATCTTGTTAAACGTTCCTCCTTTGACATGTTCGTTGACATTGGCACGGTCAATCAACGCAAGAATAAATTTCTATTGTCGGAATTGTCTTGAATATCCTTGTCACGGTTGTTACGGTTGGAACATTATACTGTTTCTTTCATTGGTATTTTTAGAAGCTATGAAGCCAGAAATCAGTGCGAGCACGTTGGATGGCCAAGCATTATTATACTTGTCTTTTGGCCAAAAATTCATATACTATTGCCTTTCTGTGACAATATGACATTGTACATGACGCGCTAAGATAATATCACGTCAATTTTTATAAGTTATGACAACAGCCGACAAACAAATGAAAATGTCATCAACAATTGATATATAGCTTTTCGAAAAAATATATCGACAAATAATGAATTCGTCCTAACTTTCAGGTATGTACTATACCTACTAATAAAAAAAAACATTTTTCTTGGGCAGGGACGATAAATGAATATTAAATTTTCCATACATCTAAGAAATATCGAATATTCTATTATAAAATCTCAAATTCCATACTATAATATTTTCACTAAAAATAAACGATTCAAGAAAAGCGATACTGAAAATTCTCTTAACCGAACAGCTATATTTATTAATTCTTAGATGGAATAAAATATTATTTCTCTCGCGTTGAATCCCAATAATAATCCCAGAGACGAGTCGTCACTCGGCTCGAAACATTTTTTTAAAAGTTTGTCAAAGGTGTGGTGAGTCAAAGTTTTGAATCACGGTTACGTTTCCGTCGGTGGATATTTATTTTCACACAGGGATGAGTGATACAACGATGCAAAAATAGACGTTGTAAAATGAAAATATCTCGACCGCCGACGATACGTTTCCTGCCAATTCACTTGGCAGAATGCACGCTATCTGCGCTCGCAGACCTCGAATCGCGCCCGCTGACAGCGTTAATTGCCGCGGCGCCGGTTCTCCTGATATCGGCTGACGGAACGAAGGAAACGAAAATGAAGAGGCATCGACGACGTCTTACCGCCTTATCGTTCCATGCGATAACAATTAACCGGTTAATTCCAAAAGCAGCGCGATAATTCGTGGCCGATAACGGTATATACCACTAATCGGATAACCCTGGTAATGATTTCTTTTCAATGAAATATAGGAAGGAGGAAGGATAACGCGAAAATAAATTTTTTCTTTCGGCGACTCTCTCGTGATTGTACGAAACGTGATACGTATTTGTGAAATATGAAAAAAGTATGAAAATTTGTTTTACTTGGCGAAGAAAAATACGATTTTATACGATCAATTATTCGTTGATGATTTTTAATAAAAAGAAAAAAAAAGGAACACGTTTGTAATAGTAAAAAAGCATAGACGAAAGATTTGTTTGGATATGAAGATGTCCAAGATATTTTTTCACAAATTTATCGTATGATTCGTGTCGATTATTGGCCTTACAAAAGTTGACGAAAGTTGGAAAAGTGGTTGTTGGCCAGATCTGTTGGAGCAAAGGTAGAGAGACCTTCGTAATACTTATGTAATCATGGTGGACGGAAATAGACCTCCTGCTGGCCGAAAAACGTCGAGACGGATTGTCGTCAGCAGATAATATCGACGATTAACTTTTGCCACGATAACAAAACGATGAATCGACGTGATCGTAACCATTGACGTAATCGAATTAGGGGAAAAATATCTGCAACGCATAATTGTTCCAACTGAATCTAAAATAAATGGCCATTTGCTTCGAGGAACAGAATCATTTTCCAAAATCGTAACGTGGCTTGCTCTAGCTAGAAAGATTGACATTCACACACTCATTTACTCGAGAAGTCAATTCTCAGATTTACGCATTTGTCATTACTGTGAGATTGTCGAGATTGAACGGACGAAAGGGGAGAGATATCGTTTTGGAAATTTCTACGAAGATGATTAAATGACGCGATATAAAGACAGTGTCTTGTCTGCGAAACAGAAAGATTTTAATCGTATAAAATTTGGGAATATTCAAGTAACTAAAATAAACGATTGTATTGTCGGACAATCAATTTTTAAGAAATTAGGAAAGAAAAAATGTACAAATAAGAAAAATAATCGAAATATAAATGATACATCGAAAATATTGTCCAAAAACTTTCACTAAAATGCCTATCGTTTTATATGCACGTTTCGTTCGATGACAAGGCACGAACAGGAAGAATTTTTCAATTTCGATGACGAAAATATCAGAATGTTCATGAATTCGATTTAATCCCAAGACTTTGGACTTTGAAGTGACTAACATCTGTCAAATTAAAATCATTAAAATTCGGTAAATTGATCGAAGTGCTAGTATATACTGGCGAAGCGAACAAGTCTAAATATCCTTCGTCATCGAATACGTATAAATTCGGTATTGAATAATCCAAAAGGAGGAAACAAGATGGCGAATATACTATTTACAGTATAGTATATATATTTTCAATCCACGCATGGACATGGAGACAGCCTTCCTTTTGCCGTGACATAAATAAAAACAGTTCCTCGAAATTCGTGCATGACAACGAGGAAGAAAAAAAAAAAAAAAAAAGGAAAAAGAAATATACGCTTATAAATATGCATAGTGTTTACCG